CTGATGTTATAAAGTTATTTCTTAAAAATAAGTAGATTCTTTTCTAACCGCCTCAATGCTAAGCTCAATCATAGAATCTAGCTTTGTGCAAGCCGTTTCTATTAGTAAAATTCTTCCATTTACACTCAAATCAAGAGAAATATTTTACTCTTATGTAAATCAATAATATTGAGAACTGTCTTTATCTAGTTAAAAGTGTGCAGAACTACCAATTGCATGCCAATTTGTGGTGGTATGTATTTAATGTGGCTTTTCGAAAATTAAAAAAAATTGCCTTTCGAATTATTTTTTCATGAGACGGAACGGAGACCCGATAACTTTTTAACTGTCTCCTCCATCTCTGATATGAATAATAACAATCGTCTCGCTTAACTAGATGACTGACAGATTTTCAATAAATGAAAATTTTATTTTTCGCGAAAACTCATTTATTTAATATTGATTTTGACAATGATTGAATGTCGATCGTTAAAAAACGAACTGGTACAAAGTGATTATCTTTATTCTTTCTGAACGTTGAATTTTGACTTGACTCTTAATTTTCTTCCATTATAAGATGATTTATTAGAATCTGAGTGATCTTAACGATATCATTGTGACGATTCATTGTCTCAAAAACGATGAAAGTGTGGGTGTGTGGGTGTGGGTGGGTGTGGGTGTGGGTGGGTGTGGGTGGGGTGGGTGTGAGTATGATTCTTCTATTTATTTACACCCACATCCCACACCCACACCCAATAGTTTCAGCTGAGTACGATAAATTTTTAACAACAACTTACATGTTACTAATGACCACGTGTTTCCTCTATCTATGTAGTTTTGTGTATTCAAAAACTACAAAAAATAAAATTAAAACGAGTTCTAAACTTATATTATATCAATGTAGAAAAAGAGTCAGAAAATATTTGTTTGATCGCAAATTATTTCTTTTCATTTTTTTTGTGACGTTACCAGCCGAAAATGTTGCATTAGGATAAAAAATATTGTTAAACATATTTTCTTCTGAGTGTCTATCGTTCTTATAACATCATTGATTTTAATGATATTCATTTGGCACTCGTTGAATCAATATGTTTCCTATAAATTGATTTCATTTATCATTGATTTAAGCTATCAAATAGGTTGAATTTCAAAAATTAGCTATCGATCTGTCACTTTATCCTATAGTAATTTATCGTGAAGAGACAAAATAAAATTTGGGTTTTCTTCTACTCAATAATTGAGTTTAATGTATTATCTTGAACGAGTCAAATAAAAAAAGTGATCGATTTTAATTAGCAATATTTCCGATGAAGTTTCAGTACTTAAAAATAGAATGAATTATCTTTTATTTCTAGTAGATCAAGTTAAACTATGTTTCGTTCACGAGCACCACGTATCTGACATGTGAACATCTTATGTTAAAATGCAAATCGAACTCACGTAAAATATGAATTCTACTTAATATATAATGTTACTTTAAGTACTTGAAATAATTTAACTCTCTTCTTAGGTAATATAAATTTTTATATGATTCGAAATAGAATAATGAAATCTACTAGTTTGCAATGTTTCTAATTATTTTTGTAGTAGTAGAATTTATTTTATTTCGAACACAATTCGGTAAGTTGTGTATAATTAGTGATAAAAAGCATTTTCGTACAATGCATCGAATTCTAATAAATCTACAGAATATTCTGATTGTTTCGCCACGTATAATCTTGATCCCAGAAAAAAAGAAATATTTACGTGAAGAAAGGATGAAAAATGATAATTCAAGCTATCATCTGCTGAACCAGTACAGAACAGCAATTGTTCTTACAAAAGAATGAGAATAATAAGTAAACATTATCGAAAATCTGGAGTGAATTTTTCTGATACTTTTGAAGACATAAATCAGGTAAATGTAAGCATGTTGCGACAAAGTATAAGAATATTGGTAGCGATCTAAGAAGCTAAACGAAGCCTAGGAGTTGAGGAAATTCAAACTATGCACGATATTAAAATAATCAACGATGCGCATAAATTCAAAACATCTAAGAATATTTAAAAGTCAGTATGTTTAGGATTCGCAATATTTCAAGAAACTCAAATCAAGCTAGACATACATGCATTTCAAAGAATACAAGATAGTTTGAAAACCACAGAAATTTGTAGACCGTCAGCAGCCTGATGATTCAAAAGGATCTGTAAATTACGAAAAATTTGAGAAACCCATGAAATCACTGAAACACTAAGAATCAATAGAATCGTAGGAACTCAATATATGAATTAAATGCAGAGAATTATGAGGAAGTATATGAAACTCACGAGAAGGATCTTATGCATTCCTCAAGGATAAAATAGGAAAAAGAAGAATGATCAATTAAAAAACATCTCATGATGAAAAATGTAAAGACAGATTTTAAACAATGTTCTTTCTCAACACACAACTGAGAGAACAAAACCAAAAGGAATGTCATATATTTTTCTTGTCAAGTCTCATCATTATCGACTTGTCTGAAAATCTAGAAACCAAAGCATAAGGTTTAATGAGAAGAAACTTAGAAACTTTACAAATTGCACGAGCCATCAAAATTGAATGAAATCAATTAACTTAGAAGTTCAACGCATATTAATGAAGTCTAGGAATTCATTGAAACAAAAGAAAAAGCGAAACTCACAAATTCTTCTGTAAATAAGAACTTTTAGAACTACAAAGAAATAAAGAAAGCTGTCAAACTAAACGAGCTGCAGTAATAGCTTGATTGTCAGAAATCGAAATTGTTTACAGTACTCAAGTAATCAATCAAACTAGAAGAAACATAATAACGGAAGGGACTAAACAAGTGAAGAATTCACAGGAACATTGGCGCTGGTATTGATAAAAGAACTATGTGAAAATGTAAACTGAACAATTTTACGATAAGTGATTTTTGTTTTCATGCTTCACGTATACGAAGATTTGAGTTATCCATCACAAATTTGCTCATCTTTTCACTAAAATCTGAATGGAAAAGGTTTTACAAACGAAACCGAAGTTGATTGATTGATTGCGCCCAACGAGGACAATCTATGCACACTTTTACATATAGCACAAGAACATAATTTATCTGAACCAAGCCAATTATAAGATTATATAGTTTGCTTGTTTTAAGTACGTGGATTTTTAATCATAAATTCTCTCGTTCAAGTATGTTTTACTTCATAATCCAAAGAGTTGGTATAATTAACAGCATCTGTTTTGTTTATACGACTCTTAGAAACGTTAATCATTACGGGGTCTGGCTGATTAAACATTACCAATAGCCCAGAACAAAATAGTCGTTTTTTCAAAAAACTCAAAAGTGCGTTTCGAAAGGAATTAATACTTAAAAAACTTGTGCCAATCATCACCCTTGAACAACTCTTATATGTTTAGTTATCGCTCAATGATAACACGGTCCCACCGAAGTTGATGTAGTACATCGAATCAACAAAAACAAGTCAGTTTGTTCGTTAACGAATGACTCTAAGTGATCGCAATATCATATCTTATTCCTAATTTTTACTTGATACGCAATTAGGTAATGAGCTTGTAGTAGTATTTTGTAATCTTAAAAATTACTCTCAAGAACCGCTCGTCCAATTATGTGGGAACTCAACGAATTGAGTTATGTTCTCTGTTCGAGATAATGTGAGACCTACAATTGGATTCGATTATGTCTATTGTTCTTTAATAACAATACCAAGACTAACATTGTTAGAGAAAATTTGAACTTTTCAAAAACACCTGAAAAATGCATTATCGAACTGTATCTTATTTAGACAGAGCTTTACAACATTGTTGTATTAGTTATGTGAACCAAACGCATCTGATGAATAAAAGGAATAGCAGTGCCAAAGTTTCGCTTGACTTTACACTGCGACTAAAAGTTTTTATGTGTACGTGGGCATATATATCCAAGAACAAGAATAGTCTGCGACTTACTCCAAACAATGACTTTGCATTTATCAGTACAGAGCGATCCACCAAAATTGGAAATTTCGGCTGAATATTCTCCTTCATCTTCTAATTGTACATTTAAGATGGTCAGCATGTATTTGTCCTTGTTACCAGTCGGTGTCGTCACTTGAATGCGATCATTGGGTGTAAGTTCATTGTCGTCTTTCATCCAGACAATGTGAGGTTTCGGAGTTCCACTGGCGACGACTTTTAGTGTCAAGATTTCACCTTTTGTGACTTTCAGTGCAGTATTGAGATTAGTGTTGATGACAGGTTTGATGCAATCAATCTTTAATGTTGTTTGAGCTTCAGCTTCGCCAAAAGCATTGGTTGCTTTAGCAGTATAGACACCTTGATCGCCAAGTTCAGCTTGATGAATAGTAAGTATCGATGTTCCATTATCAGTCTCCGTTACTTGCAAGCGATCATTGGTTGGAAGTGGTTGACCATTGAAGAACCATGTCACTCGTTGCGTTCCAATGCCACTGAACTTCCATGAAATCTGAGTATCTTGACCAAACACACATGATTGATCATTTACTGATATTGGAGTTTCTACTTTGGGTTGAACTAAAAAATAAATAATCGTTCGTATTGTACATGGAAGATGATGAGACTACTCTGGGAGTGGGTGAATAGAAGACTCACATCCACACGCCGCCACCCACACTCCACATTTGTTTCTATGTGTTTAGCTTAATCAATTAAATTGAACGCTTTAGTTTAAAAAGCATTTCGTTCTCTAGGTACGAATTTAGCAATCAGTTCCAGTTCAATTATTTTCCGTAGAGTTGAGTTAGTATACCTTTTCAAATCTAGCGCACTTTTAGCTCTCTTAATAAAGATAAAATGTACCCTTCCGTTTGGTGAATGTGTATATACGTAATGGCTAGCTTAGGGAGATTCCTCTCAGATTTGAGATACCATTGGAACTTATCAAGAACCTGTATACCAGATACTATTCATTATCGACTATTTTGGGTTTTGAACCATGTAACCAGCATTAAGAATGATCAATTATGGTACTCATAAACAAATTTTCACTTCACCTATACTCACGATGTATGCTCACGTTGATCAGCAGTGGACAGGATATGTTAAATTTATTAATTTTAAAACACTATCAAACCACATTTTTCTATTCAATATTGAATATTTAATCAGAATCAACTAATTCCACATTATTCAAAATATAACAATAGGGAAAAAAGAATAAATGTCGCCAAAACATTCATTAATCTTTCGTCACATATAGAATCTTATCCAAAATTTATAGAAGGACGTGTGAAGAGGAAATCTATCCATAACAATCAAAACTTCAACTTTTCTTCCTTAGTATGTCCTGGTCGATCAATAGTTTTTGATTTCTCACATAACTATATCTTGATATCAAAAACCAAATATTCTAGTACAAAATAAAAGCAAATCTAATTGAAGAAAAATGAAGCTATATTTATATTGTTCACAGTTTACTTATTAGAGAAAATAAGTTGTCCTATCTTATGTAAGCTGCCATAAAGATTTAACTGATTTGAACTTTTCAACAGAGAAAGTATTTCTTGTGAAAATACTGACCACTAATAAAGTCCGAAGAACGAGTATCCGGATTGAAAAGTTTGAATCTCTATGGATGATTGGGTAAGTAATGCATCAGACTACGGACAGAATCTTTCATCCCTACCCAAAATCTTTGACGAAGTCGTCGAAGAAATTGCCACTTTTTGAAAAACAAAGGCTTACTTTCGTATTAAAATTTGATACAAAAAAAAAATCGGTTATTCATCAAAATAATTTTTTTGACAGTAATTGTCTTTTATAGTGTAAATCAAAGATTAAAAAGCTGAAGGGTATCGTCATGGGAGATCTTAGTGCACTGATATTATTGCATAGGAAATATAGTTTTATTCATTGCAACTATCATATTTGTGAGCAACATGCGTCAAATGACATTTATATGCGTTGATACGTGAGAAAAAATAAAGTTTTCCTCTCGTCTCCGAGGTACATCTAGTCCAAAAAATCATGATGTCACATATAGTTAATTCAGATTGCGCAATACAAAAATAACTCGCATATAAAAACTGAATTGTCAACTCTTTTTGAAGGAGGTTTTTCTATACTAACGATATTTGCGTTTTACAGGGGTAAGCAACTAAGGTATTCAATCAAATCAAGTTTACCTGGCTTTTCAGTTATATCGTTAGATACAGGAATATTCTCTAGTAATGTTTTAAACAATTTCGGTATTATCTTCTTTTGAACTGCTTGTAAACCTTGTAACCAACCATATTCAGCAACATTATTCAATACTAATTCATACAAGTTGTCTTTGTCTTTGACTTGACTTTTTTCGAATAATGCAAATAATTTTGGACGATAATATTCACGTAACGCTTGAAATAACGCCGATCGCTTTTTATCATCAGAGAAATTTTGTATAGATTTTAAACCATTATTGGTTATTGTACACCATAGATTATTGAATACACTTGTCTCATCGAAAGATTTATCATCAATACTTTCACATAGAAGTTGCAAAACAATTGATAAGATTGGGCAATCTTTCAAGTATTTATTGCCATATTCAGCTGTACGTTTCAGAACAGAATCATAATTGACTGTATCTTCATATTCTTTTAAAAATAGGATAAACCATTGGTTTGAAGAACCATATTTTACTTTCCATTGTTGTTCAAAGTATTTTTTCAGAGATTCCATCAGTTTACCATCGTTTTCATTTCTTGCTGCTTCATATATATCTGGTAGAAGATCGTCCTCATACTTAGACAATGATTGTCTACCATTTTCTAACAAGTCGTTCAAAACTGTATCTTTTATCTCATATTCTTCCAAGTCAAGAGCGCGTATTATTTCATCCTTGGCTGATTTTAATACTTCATCATCGACGACATTGTCAAGCTTTTCTGTTGAAGAAAATTTGATTATTGATAAATTAGAAGAAGGGGTGGGTATGGGGTGAACCTATGCCTTTAACTATGAGTAAAGACCAGACCTATACCTCAAAAACTTAGAGGTCCAAAATATTCAACAACTGAAAGAAATGCATACCAGTGTGTAATAGGATCAATCGATGGGAAAATTGTTCACACTTATGGAGTGATGCTCCTTTCTGTCTCAAGTCGTACCAAGCAAGAAAAAATAGAACGAAATCATATACATACTTCTATCATTCACGGAATTTCTCTCTATACTTCCATTCAAATAGTCGTCTACCCCTTACGGTGAAAAAGTGACGGGATTATGATCTGCTCTCAAGTTATTTTTGACTTCTAGTTGTGAAGGTAGAAACTGTTGAAGGATTTCTTCTTTGTTCATATTTAATCTATTCTCGCTTAAATGGACACAAAGGACGCCTGTTTTTTTTTCAAAAGAGAGCATTTTTGTGACTTTATGAGTTGTGAGCCATCTCTGCTGTGAACGAATGACTGAAAAAAAAGAGAGATAAATATAAACCAGAAGATTGTTGATTTTGTGAAACTTCTTCTCTTGCACAAACCATGACGTCACTATAGTCAGTAGCTGAGGATGCCAGGTGATATAGATGCCTGCCTGTGTTTTGATATATTCGTCGCTCACATCCACTGGCGCAGCTACATTGATACCAATAACGATATCCACAGACGCACTCACACCGTCATTGTATGATTAACCATTCTGTGGTTACGAATTAGTCAACCTCTAGCTTGGAGAATAATCCAGTTAACACTTTAGCTTTGCTTTAAAAGTAAAAGTTGAAGTACTACTTTAAATTTTATCAGTTAAAGCTGAAGTTGATAGGCGTGGTTATGGGTGTTAATGTTGGTTTAACTAGTCATAATCAAACCACTCACATCTACCCGTGTGAAAAAAAGAAACCGACTGTACACGCGAATTGTTGGATTACCTGCGTCAGTATGTGCAGTAATACTATTGGTCGACAGTGGTCCCTTCATTGTTTGTTGAATCTTATGATCAGTTGTAATTCGAGAAATAAGTTCATCAAACTGAACAACAACAGCTTTTACCTATGGACATAAAATCATAAAATGCAATTGAAATCATTCGATTAAATTTTACTTTGACAAATCTGCTAGCCCATTGTTCATTAATTTCTTTATTCATACAATACACATATATTGACATAACTTGTTGGAGATTGTGAACAGAAGGTACTATTTCTTTTCCCAATTGCCCACTAACAATCACTACTAGTCGATCCTTTTCTGATCGTTCTTCAATATATTTCTGACATTGTGCTCTATCTTGAAACTTCTTGAAATTATTAATAATAGAGACGAATTTTTGTTCTGTATCTCGAGTCCTCTCATCGTTCACATTAGCGTCAAGCCAAATGATGCAGGAGATCACTAAAAAAATCCGTAAAATAACATACAAAAAAAGCGTCGTTGATAATGTAATAGTCGGGAAAAGGTTCAAGAGTTTACAGTGCGACATAAATTTTTTTTCTGTATATGACGAAGATGATAAATGATTTTTCCGTTTCTGATTTGCAAAAAAGGTTTATTAGGTATTTCAAAAAAGGAAAAAAAGGTTTATGCTCCATTGAAAGTGCACAAAGTCTGTTTTTTACAGTGACGAAAGGACGGATATCATCGGCACTTTTGTGTAATGTTAATGAAGGTGAATACATAAAATAGAAATTTTGAATGCTGACTATTCGATTTCGTTATCGAATATATGAGTGTTAAAAGGACTTACATATGGATACACTCTTCCTTTTATTATTTTATTTAGTACTATTCATAGCATTGTTTTATTTTCTAATTTTCATACAAAGAGAAGAAAAGAATAAGATGTTTAAATACATCGAAGAAAATGACTTTTTTTTCTGAATGTTCACTTTTGTAGGTGAGATTATTTATCCTCGGTGTGAAACTTTAGCATGGTATTTTATTTCGTTTAGTGAATAAAGAAGGTTTTAAATCAGACTATGTCATTTTACACTAACAAGGGAAGGTACCCAGGTGTGAAGGGCCGGTTCGAATCTGGCATTGACCATTTTGTAGAGCTCAGTGAGTACACCACATGATATAAACGGTTCATCCCGATACTGAACTTTTAAGGGAATACGAGGTATCATAAAGGGTATTTTATAATAACCAGAAATAAATTGTTAATGGTATTTTTCATACTTCGTCTTGATGTAGTGGGCTGGAACCGCTATCACATGTATATCTAATCAAGATCTTTTATTCTTAAAAGTTTCTACTCTCTAGATACAATTAATAGTGAAATACATCGACAAGATCGAAACATATAAATTCTCTTACTCGATTTTTGGATTCGACAGTGAAAATAACGCAGCAATTGAGTACGAAAATTTATGTATTTCGATCTTGTCGATGTATTTCACTATTAATTGTATCTAGAGAGCTGAAACTTTCAAGAATAAAAGATCTTGATTAGATATACATGTGATAACGGCTCCGGCCCACTACATCAAGACAAAGCATGAAAAATACCATTAACAATTTATTTCTGGTTATTATAAAATACCCTTTATGATACCTCGTATTCCCTTAAAAGTTCAGTATCGGGATGAACCGTTTATATCATGTGGTGTACTCACTGAGCTCTACAAAATGGTCAATGCCAGATTCGAAACGGCGCTTCACATCTGGGAACTTTCCCTCGTAAGTACGGTGCTATCACTTGCAAATGTGTAGATTGTTCATATTGAATCTGTATCAGTAATAATTCTTGTCTTTACTTCAGAAAATTCCTACAAGGAACTCAGTTGAATCAATCAAGTTGAGTTGTACATTCAAAAAGTGTTATATCTGATCTAATGGAAAAGTTCTAATATTTCAGAGTTAGATAAACTGATACCGGAAGACACAATAAGATCAACTGTGGTATAGATGTCTCATCTTCATCAAATTTTTCATAAATACAATAGCAACATATGAATTTTATTTTGCATTCTCTAAATATTACTCAAAATTTCCAATAACATTGTCGTCAAGACCACAGAAGACTATAATCATGAAGTCCTTTCTAAGTTGAAAGGGTCTGACAAAAAAAAGATTAATTATTATTATATCCAAGGAAATAATTCAGTTCATTCACATTTAATATCTAGTCCTCAAAAGAAAAATCTTTTTCAAATAAGAAGTTTTTCCTTTCGGTTATTTTGACTTTAAATATTTGATGGCATTCTGCTACTGTTTTAGATGCATGCATGAAAACAAGAAAAATCTTTTCTTGCGGCATTTACTTTTCTAAAACTAATGAATCCACTGACAGAATGTGCATTATTTGAAAGCAAAAGTGAGCAAATATATCATTCATGTTTATTGAAGATTTTAAGGAAGCCTGCTGGTGATTTCACGAAAATCAACGTACAGTTTGAACAAAAATGAAAATGACTCCTTTTACCATAGACAATGATCGCCATTTCCATTTTTTCTTTTACCGTAATTCAAGTTTCGAGTGCAAATTCTGTCTTTTGTTCAGAAGTACCTATCATTTCAAAACTGGAAGTTTAACAGAACTTGAGTCAGAATTTGAAATAGTCAAGGCGCTATGCAATAATGGATATAACACTGAATCCTAATCGGTTTTCTTGAAATTTTCAGTTTCTCAAAGGTGACTACATCTCTTGACACTTGATTAATTTCTCACCTCTATCAGAATAATTTTCAACAATGAGAGAAATCCTAACAAGTTTTACAAAGCATAGCTCAAGTGCTTTTTCGTTTCTAAGAATCAAGTCCGAAAGTTGTCGACATAATTGGCTCATGTAATACGATGCGATTAGACCTACAAGAGCTTACTGTTCTATGAAACTATTCATTTTTGAGAATTCACCTCTTTTTAGTCTTGTGACACTTGAATCCCATAAGTTCAGGTAAACTACCAGAAATGTGATCGAATCATGTTTCCACAGAACCAAACCGATCAGCTACTTTCAAAATATCTGTTGGCAAAGTTCCCAAGATTAGACCTCTATTAAGATTCTGGAGTTTAACAGCTATTCTACTGAGACGAATGCTCATCATTTGTATTTTAAAAAGTTTTCCCACTTATTTAAATTTATCATGATCAATGATCGAAAATGACAACACAATTTTAATTATTAATATGCAGGTAGAAACGCCGACGAAATAACAAAGTTGTTTGAGTATATTATTCAAAATAAATATCTTTGGTAAAAAGTACAGTGCAGATATTCAACAGCACAATATGGTTTCATAGCGAAGAAATATCTAAACCTCAAATGAAAACACAGCATAATTGCTACTGTAAATAGAGATTCTTGTGATAATATCTCATGTGGTAAATTATAATAATCTCACGTAGAGCTACAACTCCAATTATTTTGAAGAAGAATGACAAGAAAACAATAACAAGAATGAGGCAAAATAAATGACTATTATAGAGTTTTCTTGAATATTTATGCGTGTTTTAGTTATTTCGAAACAAAGTTTTCTCATAATGAAGATGTACTTTTTCATTGTTTTTGATACTGAGCATAAACAATGACTGGAAAACGTACAGCTTTGTCAACGTTACTCTTCACAAAAATTTCATTATAAAAGTTTTTTTTTATTATTCGAAAAATATTATTAACTTGCTTCTTTTATTACTTCTGACTTGAAAATTTTTTTTCGTATTGAATAATTTAACTAATTTGTGAATTGTTTATCGGAAGATTAACAAGAAGTGGCGTATCTCACATTTGTACTAATTATGAA